TTCGGAAGAAGGAAGATTCCGAAGTGATTGATTTATCGCGAGCTTACACAGTCCTCACTACCTAGGTCATCCAATCAATTGGTGCATCCAATCACCAACATTCTGCACTCGTCCAATCATCCTATTCGTCTAATCGACGTACCGTAATTATCGCGGGATTGTGTTGGACCGGTTTGGCTACCGGTTTATGGGTACTTACCGCCTGAAACCGGTACCCCTCAATACATTGCACAAACATATAGCTACGTGAGTCACGTGCGGTCGCTGAGGACAATTCGGACGGTGATTTGTCAAAAATGAGACTGCGCTTACTGTGGACAATGCTGCATAAGTCAACTGGCGATGCAACTAGAGATAACGAGGGCCGGCCGCAGCTATTACACATTCGAGAGAAGATGAAGAAAGCGTTTGCGAGCTGCTGAGCACGTAATTGATGTTTAAACGAATCAAACTACATCTTCTTTTTACGAATAACATCACTTAATACTGTAGAGAATGAAGCATTCACGCTCTGGGATTCCCTTCCTTCTGTTGCTGTCGTAACCGCATTTCTCATATTGTCGCCTACAAATACCGCAATATCTCGATGCAGCTCCACCAGCGCCCCGAGAAAATGGTCCATCTTGTTCAGCTTGAGTTGAAGCTCCTCGAGCTCTGCCATAACAGCATTGAAGAAGCTTCCTGCTGTTGCAAGCATTCGCGTTTCACGTTCTCAGTGTGCATGGTCAGCGCGGCGTGTCCTCGGCGGTAACTCGCTCAATGCTTTTGCTCCGTAGCGTTATTGACTTTGTGTATCTGCGTCGTTTCGCCAACTGAACCGGCAAGGGCTCCGAGTGAACCGGAAGCTGGATGGCATGATATATTACGTGAGTGGTGGTTATATATTATTCGATTTGAGGGGAAAGGTGCCGAAGCAGAAATTTCAAGGAGCTGATCTCGTAATTTATTGATCCGATTAGACAGGAAAGGTGCTGAAGGTGCCGTCACAAAGGTGCATTAACGAGAGCCCTGTACATCAGCGACAACAAAAGACTGATCTACAATATGGTGCCGCCACTATCACCAGCTGAATCCTACTGTTCCTATTGGTTGAAGATGCTGACTTTCAGACTCGCTTTCGACTCGACGCGCGAGCTCCTCTGTCGAAATAGAAACAGCTTCGAACGGGCACTGACACCTTTCGTCAATATTTGAACTTGTGTGCCGGGGAGTGATACATGTAGCTGCATGACGGGCCGTCATTGACGGAACCACGTGTCAAGCCATGCCCAACCTATCCAAGAGCGAGCGATATCCGTGTGACTTCGGTCGAACGGCGCATCAATAGCATGCCTTTAGCGACGATCACTCTCCTCTTCTTCGCTAGCTTACCTCCCCAATCCACTCTTCATTCTGCAATTTGCTTTCTCCCAACACAACGACCACTAAAAGTCCAGCCCGCGATGAAGCTCGTGTCCAGCGCCTTCGGTGTCTTCGCACTCCTCGCAGCCTTCGTTAGCGGCTCCACCATGTTGCGTCAAGAAGCGGAGGGGAGTAGTAGCTGCTCTCTCACCGGCACCTACAAGTCAGGCACCGACATCTCGTCTTGCACCACTGTCACCATCGGATCGCTGTCTGTGCCAGCTGGCGTCACGTTGGACTTGAGCCACCATCGAGTTCACGGGCACCACCACCTTCGGCACCGCCAAATGGGATGGCCCATTGGTACTTCTCACTGGAAGCAGCCTTACCGTCAAAGGCTCCGGTACTCTTGATGGCCAAGGCTCTTGGTACTGGAAACAGGGCACATCCATCAGTCGCCCTGTGTTCTTCCGTATGAACAAGGTTCTCTCCTCAACAGTGTCGGGTTTCACGCTTAAGAACATGCCGTACCGCACCTTCAGCATCCTCAGCTCGCAGAAGACAACCATAAGCGGCCTCACACTCGATGCCAGCGCTGGCGATGATCTGGCCAAGAACACGGACGGATTCGACTTAAGCGGCAACGACTACGTCACCATCAAGGGCAACAAGATCTACAACCAGGACGACTGTCTCGCCATGCAGTCCAGCACCAATACTGTCTTCAGTAACAACTACTGCAGCGGCGGCCACGGAATTTCGATCGGCTCGCTCGGTGGCTCTACGGTCACTTCGTCCGATACAGTCTCAGGTCTGACAGTGAGCGGCAACAGTATCGTCAACAGTGTGAATGGCATCCGCATCAAGACCATAATCGGTCTAAAGCCAACGTCAAATACTCCTGTCGAATGTGAAAAACGCCATTGTACTTCACTCTGACTACAGCAGGTCCAAGGGCGGATACACGGGCTCCCCGACCAGTGAGGTTACGATCGAGGACATAACCGTGTCGGGTCTATCGGGTACGGCAACCAACTTGTACGATATCGTGGTAAACTCGAAGGTCGTATCGGATTGGTCGTTCTCTGGTATTACAGTGAGCGCGTCCAAGACGGGCACGTGCAGTGGCCAACCCAGCAGCGTCGACTGCTAACTACCTCTACTAATTTTGTTTGTCCGTTTTTTTAAAACGAACGGCAGCTACGAAAGCAGTGGCTACTAAAAGCGTAAAGAGAATAACACCAGTGTTTGAGTTCGTAAAGGGTGGGCACGCACATTTCGCTAGATCGCTTTCATGTAATACCATATGGGCTCGAAAGTAAAGCAAAAAGGGGCATTTCTGTGTACATGTAGTTGACTTTCTTTACCTACATTCTGATTCAACGTCGCGATCATTGGCATCACATACTGTATCCTGGAATCCAGGCTGGATGACGTCTCGTTGACAGCTGAGCGCAGTAGCTCAAAAGGAGAGCTGATGACCAACAACACGGACACAAGGCATCAAGCTAGGTCTCTGCATTGAATGCTTTGACTCAATGAAAGGAGAGGCTGCCCACCTAACAGATCTCAAGAACACTACATATAGCACTGGCAAGCACGAAGACAGCGCGACTACCCTTTTGTTGCTATGTTGTGCCTGGAGCTTTTGATTAAATGTGGCGACCAGCAAGATTTACGAGAAATAAGGTTTTAATCCAACGTTCTTCAAGGTTAGACTGCATGCACCTACGAGCTCCAAGTTTAGGAGCTGATGGCCTTGTGACTTCACCTTTCTGCTTCCTGACGCAGAAGCCCTGAGAGGGTCCAGATATTAATTACGCTTTACATGTAGCTCATTCGTTTCAACGCAGTAATACAGCGGCCAATTTCGTCGAAAACACTTGTTACGCTTCGAAGTTGAGGCGATGGTCGTGTTTTGACACATACGACACAAAATGCGCCGATTCAGTACAACCCAAGCTGACTGCCTTTTGGCCTGGCATTCGGCTGGTGGAGCTTGAGCCGGACCCCCCGTGCCGTTCGAACATTGCAGCGAGTGAACGGGCCCTGGCTCAATGGATTACCTCCTGGGTCCACGAGATTCTCGTTGCAACTTTTGATCCATCTCGATCTCAGACCTCACTTTCCTATTTGCCTTTGGCAAAGCACCCCCAACACAACCAACCGAGCTGTACTCCACGCCTCAACGATGAAGCTTCTCTCCACTGCATTCGCTGCCTTCGCTCTGCTCGCTGCCACCGTCAATGGCTCGCCCATGCTCCGCATGGAAACCGAAGGCAAGAGCAAGTCTGATCAGCAGCAAGTGCAGCAACAACAGCAGAGCAGCACCAGCAGCAGCAGTGGTTGTAACCTTACCGCCACCTACAAGAAGGGCACCGACATCTCATCTTGCAGCTCCGTGACTATCGGCTCGCTCACTGTGCCTGCCGGTGTCACGCTGGACTTAAGTAAGGCCAAGAGCGGCGCTACCATCACGTTCACCGGCACTACGACGTTCGGACCGGCCAAGTGGGAAGGACCCCTCGTTCTGCTTGGAGGCAACAGCCTCGCGGTCAAGGGTTCCGGTATTCTCGACGGCCAGGGTGCCTGGTACTGGAAGCAGGGACAGTCGATCACTCGACCCGTGTTCTTCCGTCTGCAGAACGTCGTGGGCTCGACCCTGTCGGGCTTCACGCTCAAGAACTCCCCGTTTCGCACGTTCAGCATTGTCACGTCTAAGCAGACCACGCTGAGCGGTCTGACGCTCGACTCGAGTGCCGGCAACGGTCTGGCTAAGAACACGGACGGCTTCGACCTGACCAAGAATGACCACATCACCATCACCGGCAACAAGATCTACAACCAGGACGACTGTCTCGCCATGCAATCCAGTACCAACACGGTGTTTAGCAACAACCTTTGCTGCGGTGGCCACGGTGTGTCGATCGGGTCTCTCGGCGGCAACGCAGTCGACCAGTCTTCGACGGTGCAGGGTCTTACTGTGCAGGGCAACACCATTCAGAACAGCGACAACGGTATCCGTATCAAGACCATCGTCGGTCTCAAGGGTCTGGTCTCCAACGTCAAGTACGTTGACAACAAGCTCCAGAACGTCAAGAACGCCATTGTCATGCACTCGGACTACAGCAAGGCCAAGGGGGGCTACACAGGCTCTCCCACTAGTGCTGTCACGATCGAAGGTGTGACGATCTCTGGTCTGACCGGCTCGGCCACCAACTTGTACGACATTGTTGCCAACCCGAAGGTGGTCTCGGGCTGGACCTTCTCGGGTATCAAAGTCAGCGCGTCTGCAAACGGTAAGGCGGTCGGCCAGCCCAACAGCGTTAGCGTGTAGATGTCCGAAGCCACACTTCCTGTCTTGTGAGCTGGCACCCAAATGGTCGACAGTAGGCCGATAGAGTGTAGGGAACGCTAGCCGATACAATAGAATTGATGTAAGTTTTTTTTCTGCGTAGTTTTACGTTTTGCCTCTGCCATGTTAAAAATGAAGCGACCGATACTGGACCAAACTATTTTGTAATAATGCATAGTATTCTCGTGATACTTCCTGCTCGTGAGCGTTCTCGTGAGAACTGGACGACAGTCGCCCGTTGGACTCGTAACCCTTAAGGCAGGAATTAGTTCCTTACCAGTTGCGTGAGCTACTCAACTTGAGTATTTCGTAGATATAAAAAGCCAAAGTTACGCCTTGGCTCTATCATCTCCTTTGCTTGAAACACCCAAACGATATTCGAAGGCGACTGTATTACGACAAGGGTCGGTGGACTATCACTTGTCAAGACCACTGGATGGACATTTTGTTGTCCATTGGCACAGAAATTCGCAGTGAGTACTGGAAGTTGTTTCTCGCTCTTCATTCTTACTAACTCACGGCAATGTTGCTGTAGCTTCGACCCAGCTACACTTTTGAAGCCAGAGGTGCATCATCTTCAAACATTTCGTCAAAAGCGGTTAACATGTATCAGAAGTTGACCGATGGTACACCATTTGACGTTTCCAGACAGAATTCACGCTTTCGGGACGGCACGTTCGATTAGGGTACAGTAGTCGAGCGTAAAACTATTGTAAAAGGGACATTTCTATGTGTCGTGTCAACGTGACTCAACGTCGCGATAACTGGCAGCACATGTCCGTCTCGTTGCAGACTGAAAGCTGTGGCTGTACATACAGTAGTTCCGTCGAGATGGTTTATTTATTTTCTATGGCAATGACAGATTCTAAGAACACTACATATAGCACTGGCAACACGAAAGCACGAAGACAGCGCGACTACCCTTTTGTTGCTATGTTGTGCCTGGAGCTTTTGATTAAATGTGGCGACCAGCAAGATTTACGAGAAATAAGGTTTTAATCCAACGTTCTTCAAGGTTAGACTGCATGCACCTACGAGCTCCAAGTTTAGGAGCTGATGGCCTTGTGACTTCACCTTTCTGCTTCCTGACGCAGGAGCCCTGAGAGGGTCCAGATATTACTTACGCTTTACATGTAGCTCATTCGTTTCAACGCAGTAGTACAGCGGCCAATTTCGTCGAAAACACTTGTTACGCTTCGAAGTTGAGGCGATGGTCGTGTTTTGACACATACGACACAAAATGCGCCGATTCAGTACAACCCAAGCTGACTGCCTTTTGGCCTGGCATTCGGCTGGTGGAGCTTGAGCCGGACCCCCCGTGCCGTTCGAACATTGCAGCGAGTGAACGGGCCCTGGCTCAATGGATTACCTCCAGGGTCCACGAGATTCTCGTTGCAACTTTTGATCCATCTCGATCTCAGACCTCACTTTCCTATTTGCCTTTGGCAAAGCACCCCCAACACAACCAACCGAGCTGTACTCCACGCCTCAACGATGAAGCTTCTCTCCACTGCATTCGCTGCCTTCGCTCTGCTCGCTGCCACCGTCAATGGCTCGCCCATGCTCCGCATGGAAACCGAAGGCAAGAGCAAGTCTGATCAGCAGCAAGTGCAGCAACAACAGCAGAGCAGCACCAGCAGCAGCAGTGGTTGTAACCTTACCGCCACCTACAAGAAGGGCACCGACATCTCATCTTGCAGCTCCGTGACTATCGGCTCGCTCACTGTGCCTGCCGGTGTCACGCTGGACTTAAGTAAGGCCAAGAGCGGCGCTACCATCACGTTCACCGGCACTACGACGTTCGGACCGGCCAAGTGGATGGACCCCTCGTTCTGCTTGGAGGCAACAGCCTCGCGGTCAAGGGTCCCGGTATTCTCGACGGCCAGGGTGCCTGGTACTGGAAGCTTGTTTTGGAATGAGGCGTATTGATGTCATTTAGCATGCCTACTAACGACTTCCTATACCCTGGCCAGCGTCGCCGCCTTCGTGTCGGTCGTCCGCTGTAGCTAGGTTTAGTCCGGTTCCTCTCTCTCTCTCTCTCTCTCTCTCTCTCTCTCTCTCTCTCTCTCTCTCTCTCTCTCTCTCTCTCTCTCTCTCTCTCTCTCTCTCTCTCTCTTTCTCTCTCTCTCCACCCCTAAGCGGGGGACGTGAGGATACCTGTGGTATCAGTCGGCTCAGCGATTCTCGCCAGTGAGACACATCGCCAGTCATGTGACTAAGTACTGCCGACCAGCGGTGTAGTTGGGTCACGTCTGCCGTAAGCAAGACCTGCGTGCTATGCTTCGTATCCATCGCGAGGTTTGCTAAGGCATCGGCCATCCGATTGTAGTCGCGAAGATGGTGGTGCCATGCAGTAACATTTAGTTTGTCTGTAATCCTGCGGCTTCGCCAGTAGAAATCTCTAAGGTGTTTAGCCTTTGGTGGCTTTCGGTGTTTGTGTTGTCGGATAATCATCGCGCTATCTCCGATGATGTGTAGAGGTTCGAAGCGGTACATCTCGCAAGCTTTCAAACCATGGAGTAGCCCTAGATTATTGGCCATGTTGTTCGTGCATCGCTTGTCCGCGTACGACATCGAGCTGATCCAACAGACGTGGGCTCCAAACCCTGGCGTTGCCGATTTTAGCACTATAACTCCACTGCCAGTGGCAGTCTGCCACCGGGTCCTGGGTTGCCACGGGAGCCTCCATCAAAGAAGAGAAGATACGTGCCGCGGCCGCCTTGTGATGCGATCGGACGCTCGATCGTAATTTTTCGTAGATTAGTAGCTGTCTCATCACGCGGGTAGCTAGTGGGCCATACTGTGTGTTGAGGTGCTGTGCCATGTGAGCATATACCGTATTGTACGCAGTTCTGAGCGCCATCTTGAAAGACGCTGTTCGGGATCCTTTCTTGACGTTAGAGAATGCGTCGAAATGTCCTACCCGCCATCTCCAGACGGCATGGAGATAGGATGCGGCTCCGATTCTCCAGCAGCTCTCCGCGAGAGTGGTAAGCGTCTCGGCAAACAAGCCGGACTTCGTAACGGTGTGGTCGTACATATCTTCCGCCAGCGCCCACAGCGGCGTAGGAACTCTCGGTAGGGTCAGACTGAATACAGCAAATTCGATCTCCTCAGGGCGAATGGCTCCTGGGAGCCATGGATGTAGCAAGATGTCCCGAAGACGAAGACTTCCAAATTTGCGCGCGACTGCTCAAAACTCCGGCCAAGAGACAGAAGCCCACAAGTAACACGAGGATCCGGGGGGCGTTTGGAAGGACGCGAAACCCCCGGGTCATACAATCTTTAAGTAAGCGCGAGTGATCGCGGCCGGAAAGCGACAGAAAGAAGCAACATGCAGGCGGAGGGAAACGAGGACGGCAGTGGCAGGAGAATGCCCAAGAACGAGATGCAAAGCAGGGGAGAAGGAGAGCAAGAAGCAAAACAAGGTTGGAAGACAGTGGTCCGAGGAAAGCAACACGCAAGCAAGAGCGATCAAGTCGGGGAAAAAGACTGGCACACACACCAAGGACTGAAAGGGAAACCGGCGGGGAACGATGCACGGAGTACTTCGACCTATGCAAACAGGAAAACAAAGACCCAGACAGAGACAAAGCGACCAAGCCGAGCGAGACCAGGGGACCCAGACACAGGAGATGGGGCGATGGTTTTTGCCCAGCTACGCTCATACATCCGGAACAAAGCACCAAAGGAATTCGTGACGCACACGGTGCTGAGGCTGAAGGAACTAGCTAAAGAGAGGCGATTCCAAGATCTTCTCAAAAAAAGCAACAAACAAGAAGCAACGGTGCAGGAGAAGGAGAAGCTGAGAGAGCAATGGTCAGATGAGCTATCGGACGGAGAACAAGAGAGATACCAAGGATTGATCAGCTGCTGGGACTGTGCCAAGGACCATCACATCGAACGGCTGGGTGGATTGTTAGAGGCATCGCTACACAAAAATGAGATTGACCAAGATGAATTAGAAATACGACTGCGGCAGTTCACTTTCATCAATGACCCCACAACGAGCAAGGAAAAAAATAAGGGCCAGGACACCAACACATCTTTCAAGGACGTCGTATCAGGCACCGACAATAAGTGGCCAACCGCAACGGAAGGAGAGAAGGTGTACCAAAAATGGTATGAACTCTGCATGAGACCAGCAGAGCCAATAAGAGTCCTACGTGAAATGACGGACGAGGAAAAGCAAGCAATCGAGATGATATTAAATCACCAGCTAGAAGTGCCGATACCGCCAAGGTTCCTGATCCAGATCATGGACGCAAGGGAGCTAGCGGTTTTCACAGACCTCTTCATGGCAATTGAGTACCCGCTGTACGCACATTTGTTGCGGGGGCAACGATACGGCCCAACCTGACGAAGCAAGTGATCATGCAGCAAGTGCACATGGGTGCTGAAGCTGCACTTTCTCAGAAGCTGCAAATACAGGAATTCAAGAAGGACATATCAAGAGCAGAAATTAACGCGGACACAAGAGTGGTCACAGTGACCTTCAAAGGGAAACATACCGCCATGAAATGGGTCGGATGGGGAATGTTTCTGGGGATGAGAATGCTCACATTGGTGGACTACGAAACGCAGAGGGAGGATGCGAAAACCAAAAACACCCTGATCAAACTGGACTTCTACCGATTCACGATCGCAGTGAAGCGAGGAACACTCACATCGTCTGATTTGTACTGGGTACTTACACACAAATTAGGACTCAAAGTACAAGCGCTGGCGCATGTGGAAACCGGAGGGGGAAATATAAATGACAAACAGTGGAGAGTCAACATCAAGGCAGCAGCTTGCCCGGGAGAGCTCCGCAGGATGTCAATGATGGTGGTGGATGACGCCTTCCTGACGATATACCATCATGAAGTCAACACACACTGGCCATGCTCTCAATGCGGAGCGCTGGAACACTCAGGACGTTTTTGCAGGACGCCGCCGGAGCGCATAAAGGTCACCCAACAAAACCACTCAATGCAAATAGACGGCAAATTGCCGTCGAAGAGAGGGAAAGGAAGCAGGGACTACGTCAGCAGAGAGCGTCCGGTCACCATTGAGCAACTACTAGAGCAAGTTTCAGAACGGAAGCCCAGATCCTATGCGAAAAAAGAGGAACAGTGGAGGGAGAACGGAAAAGACAGCTCGAAAGAGAATAAGAGGCCGACTTTACCAACAGAATGGGAGCAAGCAAGGAGCACATCAGGAGATTCAGGAGAGAGCAGCAGAAAGGAAGATGTTCCACAAGATAGAGAGGAGGAGCAGAACACAATGAGGGCACACGAAGAAACTGAAGGGGAGGCACCGGTGCAAGACAACAAACAGGAAACCTTGGAAGCTAGCTGCGACTTGGACGAGGGAATGGAGGACGCTGCAATGAGCGAACACGAAAACTCCGAAACAGGACCAGCATACAGCTGCGGTTACCCCAGCACGACTCACGATCCACAAGCGAAAGCACACGAAACACATAACGCAGTGCAAGAGGAGACGAAGGAACAGACAGGACACCAGGGCTCGGACACACGCAGAGAGGGACGAGAACCGAAGCAGAAATCCTCCTCTCCCAAAAGACAACTGTCCGAAAATTGGAAGCTCCATGGGGACAACGAGAGAGATCGAACCAGTAAAGCAGCCAAAAAGGATTTGAGTGAGGAAACAGGAAACCAGCGGTTGAAGCAATAAACACATCACACGGAGACGGACAGCCAGCCGGAGAGAAAACATATCCAACAATACATGCACAAATACGTAACCACGCAGACAACCTCGATAACGAAAGCTCGAGTCTCGTCGACTCAAGAGGAAAACGCCGAAGAAAGCGGGGCGCGGGAAAAGGAAGGTTTCCTCGTAGCAGGAACGAAACAAGGGGATGATTTCGGTCGGCCACTGAGGGAATGGTTGGACGTTGTGGGGGGGGGGGGACGATCACCAATGTAGCGGCCAACGGACACTGTGGATGGCTTGCTTTCCTCGCAGCACTACACAATATATCGACGGGACTGTTACAGCTGGAATCCAGTGCAGTGACAGCAGCGAATGGGCTGAAAAAGCAAGTAATGAACAACATGATAGCCAACGTGGCAGACGAGTTCAAGGTACACAAAGAGGAATGCGAAGCAGCGCTCGCAGCAGCAGGGAAAGGAGTTACCAAGCAAGCTGCAGACACGGAGAAGCTGTGCGTAGTGGCTAACCACTACGCGGATCAACGGAACAGATCCGTCAAAGCGTTTGTGCCAATGAATTACTGGGTGAGACCGGAACACATAAAAGCAATGGCGATGCACGCCCGAGAAATGGTGTTTGTCCTGGATTTATTGCAGGAGGAGACAGAAATGCTCCAGGCATACGGATATGAAGAATTGGAGATGCCAGACAAGACGGCAATCGAGACAGGAACGGTGGTATAATTGCCGTCACACGTCGGAGCGGACTTTCTGGGAGAACTTACAGCAGCAGGAACGCTGCCTGCTACACTACAGCAACACAGGCAATCACTACCAGGCGGTCACGTACGATCCCGAGCGATATCAAACATACACAGATCAGTGGAAGGAGCTCACAGAACGGAGGAACATCATACTGATCAAATATGGAGGGAGAGCGTTAGATGCAGAACCGTTCGATGGGGACAAGACAGCAAAAGCTGCTACTAAGGAGCTCAAATCCATCCGCAGAGCAGACAAAGACGCCAACGCTAAAGGACAAGAATCGATAAATGAGAATACTAGAGTAGACGAAGGCAACACAACACAAAACTTTGGAGAGAAAGAGAAGCAAAAAGAGCCCAGCGGTAGCTGCCACGAATGGATGGACCAAGACCGCGCTACAGCTGACGTGGAAGTGCAAAAGAAACAGCAAATAGCGACAATCACGGTGGGCGAGGCAAGCAAGTCGACAACAACAGCAATCCGCAGCGCACCGACGGCACACTATCCACCCAGCGTTACAGCACCAAGCGCAATGAAGGCGCCACGAAACAAGGAAGGGATCGCAGATCAAGATGCCAAGATAGCGCACGGGTCAGTGCAACCACCCAAGGAGACAACTGATGGAAGGACAAACTAAGAAGCCGAACAAAGAGAGAAGGGAGGAGCAACACCATGAGGGCGGAGGACAAGAGGGCGGAGGACAACAGACAATTCGAAGCTTTTTCAAGCACATAACGGAGCAGGAAAGAATGAAGTCCATACAAGATGAACACAGAAATCTAAACAAGAAAATAACAAGACAGACCAGAACAATGAGGAGAAGAAGACGACGACTAGCTACACAACAACATGTCAACGACAAAACTCTGGGGCTGGCCACATCCAACATAAGAGGCATGGCTGTACAGAGAGAAACGATGGGGACCTATCTACAGGTACTGAGAGAGAGGCTAAAACGAGGAGTACGGGACATCACCTTCATGCAAGAGACGCACCTGACGGCCCAAGAGCAGGATTCGGCAGCGGCTCAATACGCAGCGATGTGGGGATACAAGAGAGCATGCGCGACGGTACTTTCAGTATGGTCGTCAGGCACAGCAAGACGAGCAGGAGTAGCCATTCTACTCAATCCGTATGGAGCTGTCAAGGATCTAAAGGGATGGGGAGAGGAGCACTGGACCGAACACCTAGTGATGGACACCGGGGAGATCCAAGGAAAGCGACATCTTTTCATAAACATATACGCACCTTCACACGGGGCCACAAGAACACTCTTTTTCAGGACGCTACGAGGGATAAGACTGCCGGCGGACCACACCATAGTATGCGGAGGAGACTTCAACTGCGTCACGAGAGTCGAGGTAGACAGGAGGGGGACAAACACGAACGATGACGTAGGGGCAAGAGTCCTACGGGGCTTCATTCAGGACAACGCTTTAGTGGACACAGGAGAGTGCAATATACCAGCAGTGGCTACAGAGGCGGAGCTGACGCAATACGCTAGAGCACACCACACACACAGACATACAGCAGCGGACGGACGAAAGGGGACATCTCGCATCGATCGATGGTACATCTCGGGTCGGGACCGGAAGCAGATACGTGGGGTGACCACAGACGAGGGAATATGCGATTCAGACCACAAGGGTGTGATTCTAGAGATGCACTACTCAAAAAGGGCAGTACGGAATAAGAAGAGGGAGGCGGTCTATCCGCCACCGATGTATGTGCAGGCAGTCACGAGGGACATGATAACCAAAAGACTGCAGGATTGGGGGAGCAGTATGGAGCACATGAACCCACACACAATGGCGCAGGAATGAGACAAGCTCAAGATTGAGATCAAGGCGGAGATGAAGTAGCTCAGACAACAAGCCCGCAGGAGAATGACTCAAGGTTTCAGGCAGAAGATAAGGCGGATAAAACGCAAACTGGCAACAGGACGAGGAGAATCTGCAGATGAGGAAAGGCAACAAGCAGAACTACGGGCAGATTTGAAACAATTGCAGACACAGCGCAGAGCAATCAGAAGGAGAAGGCTCGTAAACAAGGGAGCATGGACATCGAAAGCCTCTACAAAATTTCTTTTCAACAGGATCTGCACAAAGTACGGAGATAACATCATCCCCACGCTAACAGCACCAGAAGGATCCCCCAAACGCGGACTCCACGCCAAGGCAGACACGTTGGCAGACAGCTGGAAAAGCATTTTCAATGGGCATGCAGACAACGAACCAGGAGCAGAGGAATTCATCAGTACGTGCAAGCAAGCATGGGAGCAGATTGACCTAAAAGAAATCGACAAGCAGATAGCACAAGACGAAGTCGCAGCAGCAATAAAAAAATGCAAGATCGGGAAAGCGTGCGGACCGGACGGCATGGGCAATGAATGGTACCGAGATTATGAAGACCTTTTGGTGCCAATCCTGACAAAACTCCTCAATATACTTCTTGAAGAGGGACACACGCCAAAGTCCTTTAACGAGGCGTACATCTTCAGCATATCCAAAGGGGGGGATACGAGCAACGCACTTAATTATCGACCAATTGCTCTCCTCAACACTGACTACAAGATATTCACAAGGATCCTGGCGTGGCGAGTGAGAAAGCACATCAAACGGCTAGTTTATACGACGCAGTTCGGATTCATACCAGGGCGAACAATACATGAGGCAATAGATCTCCTGGAGGCGGCCAAAACGGCAGCAAAAAGCTCGGAAGAGCTCACCCAAGCGCAAGTACTACTTCTTGATTTCGCGAAAGCATACGACTCGCTGGATAGGGACTACCTGCATAAAGTGTTGGAGGCCAAAGGTTTTCCACCCAATTTCAGAGCGATTGTAAAAGCAACACATGATCAGACGTCGGTGCGATTCATGGCCAACGGAACGCTTTCAAGGGCTATTGCAGTCACAAGCGGAATCCGACAGGGGTGTCCTTTAGCGCCACTACTGTTCATACTGGCGGTAGATCTCTTGTACGACGCAGTACAACAGGACCAAGAAGTACAAGGAGTGCGACTGGAGGAAGATCCGGATGGTGAAAAGATCCAGATAGCGGGGTACGCGGACGACACTGCCATCTATATTGCGGACACAAGCATGCAGCGAGCCTCCATTAGGACAGTAAAGATCTTCTCAGACGTATCAGGCCTCAAATTAATCTAAAGAAATCAGTAGCCCTAAGACTAGGGACGGCAAGAGCATGCACTGAAACGACGCGAGGCGGGAAAGCAGATACAGTAGGAGAAGTCAGCGAAACGCGATACCTCGGTCATATTGCAGGACCCGAAGACACAGCACAGAGCGCATGGGCACGGCCTTTCGCAGCGCTGACCACCAGATTGGCACTTGCAGTGGAGAAAACGAACACTGTGCAGGAGAGAGCAGCAATCGCGTCGGCAATAATCATGCCAAAGCTGATGTATGTAGCGCGGCACGCATGGCCCTCCGACGAACTAGTACAAGAAGCTGAGTGGAGGACCCGGAACTTTGTCTGGAAGTCATCGTTCTCGAAACCCGACAAAGCGCCCAGAGGCTGGATCAAAGCAGCCGTGGCCGAACTGCGACCCAACGAAGGCGGAATAGGAATGCCGAACTTCCGAACGGAACTCGTGGCGCTAGCAGCATCGACGGTAGGCGACTGGGCGGCGGCAACCAACAAACGCAAACAAGTAGCAGGATAACTGCTCCAACGGAAGGAAGGAGTCTTTCTAGGGCACATCACGCCCAAAAAAGAAGGAAGGGGTCCACGACTAAGAGCGGACCTATGGACCACTGGCAAACTGGTAGTAGAAAAGGGATTTGCTCCTGATGACCTAGCCGAAGCACAAGACGATCAGGCGGGTTTAAGACGCGAGATGCGGCACCGCAACGGATTAAAGGACGAATGGGACTGGAATGCGAATTCGAGCCACGGCTACTGGGTAAAATGGCGAT